TTCCCCCCTTTTAAATTTTTTTTTTTTTTTTTTTTTTTTTTGTCTCAAATATACATCTTACATTATCTGCAATATCTCATATGTAGGAGACCTTGTTAGCTTTCCCAAACAAAATGACAATGTTTTAACACAGTTATTTTCGAAATTTTCCTTGCCATAAAAAGCACAGATTTATATGTTTAATTGTTGTAGAAATACCAAATTTACTAATTAATTTATTTTGCATGAACTCTAATATTGGTAATGACATTATAAATAATTAAGGTTTAGCAATGTACTTTTTGACGGGTTCAGAAAAGAAGAGTTATAGTGATGGAAAAATATCTTATTATTCTTATCATATAAAAATTCTCCCCCTCAAATTCTGGTAAATTTTTATTTATTTATTTATTTTATTTTTTGTGATCAGGTCATCCCCGTATTATCCATAGGGATATTAAGTCGTCAAACATTCTGTTGGATAATAACTTCGAAGCACAGGTATGCTGATTCCTGCATCTTAATATGAAGGAAAGTTGTGCTCTTTCGAAACATTGCCTTTGAGCAACTCAAAAGCCCCTTGGATATCAGGGGGTACATTGTGTATTCAGTGTAAATAATTTATTCATTTCACATTAGTTACATTTTAACTGTGCTGCTCATCAACAGGTTGCAGATTTCGGGCTTGCAAAGATAGCACAGGAATTGGATTTACATACTCATGTATCAACTCGTGTCATGGGAACTTTTGGGTGGGTTAGTCTTGTGCTTATTTTGGTACAATTGGAAAAATTTAACCATAGGTTTTTGGGCATTCTGCATGAGTTACTTATTTGGATGCAGTTCCTATCTTATTCTCAAGATAAGTAATTTGTGTTTGCTTAAAGAGAAAAGTAACATATCCAAACATTTTTGGAAACAAAAAAATTACTTTAATGCTTAGCCTAACGTCCTCTCACTCGTGACCATTGATGAATTTTATTGTGCGAAACGCATGATGTTGATGATAAGCAGTAGGAACTTCTATTGTACATCAATTTGCCATTTGCTTATTCAAATCTATCTGGATTATTTACAGATACTTGGCTCCAGAGTACGCATCAACTGGTAAACTGACTGAAAAGTCTGACATTTTTTCATTTGGTGTTGTGCTTTTGGAGATCATTACTGGTCGTAAGCCTGTTGACACATCCCAACCACTTGGGGATGAAAGTCTGGTGGAATGGGTAAGTTTCTTGAACTGAATGGACCTTGTTATGCATTATTGTTTGGCTATATTTTCTTTTAACCTCAAGTTATCAAAATTACTACCATCAAGTTCCGAACTTCGAGACCTAGACCCTTGCTTCCTTGATTATTGACCTCTTGTATTCCGTGTATTATAAAATCCTAAAAGTGAAATCCTCAATTGAGCATGCTGTATTTGCATGTGTAACCTTAAAGCATGATACATCTATTGGCTAATTAATCCCATTCCTACTTTCTTAATAAGGTTGGAGAAGTAGGGCTACTTTCTAAGGTTCTAGTGCTCCTCCCAAGTTCGGCAATGTCGGACTGCAATGTGCATATGTTGTCTTGTAAAATGTAAGTGGTATATTCTAGGACATCTGATAAAAACTAAATTAAGAAAAAGGACTGATAGCCCTGCAGATTCGTTCCACTAGGTGCAAATTTATTGCAATATAGATTTAACCCGAAATGATAATCTAATTTATTTGAGAATATTTTTATATAATCTCTAGAAATTTTTGCAAATTAAATTGGAAAAATTGGACATAAAAGTCATTTATGTCCTCTCATAGGGATCATTGTTATCTTCTTCATTAACTTCTTTGATATGATTTTGTGTTGCCAAAATAAATAAATAAATTAACAGCTCCATCAATATGCCCTTTCAGTAGTGGTTGGCATTTGTTTCGATTTCGCTGCACTGATGACATGCCCAATATATAATGTGTCATTTATCAACTTCTTTGCTTCATTTCTACCCATCCAGTAGAGTGGTCCATGCCTAGAGGTGATAGGGGGGCCAAATTTTTAACAGTAGGGTAAAATTTTTTTTTTGAGTAAAGAAACTTCGTGAAATGGTAGCTGAAGAGAGACTAGATAGAAGACTGAATTTAGTGATGCCGTTGTGTGTTCCTTTTTTTCAAATGAAAGCACAATATGGGTGTAGTATTTATTTTTAATGAAACGAAATACAAATATAGGAAAGGACATTCAACCAGATCTTCGACCAGTGAAACCGTGAAAGTACAAAGCATAACCAGTCCATAGAACTGGTAATTTAAAGATAAAACGGCCCACATTATATTTCGTACCCTTGTCATGCTATGCAGTTGTCATACATCGAGTTAGGTATTTTATATGCTCCTCTTAACTGTTGTTATGGTTGAAAATCTCCAAGGGAACGTCACATGATCTCTCTGCAAGGCATAACTCCCTAGTAGTAAGGATACAGCCACCTGCCCCTACCTAGAAAGGGCCCTTAGCCTTATTTATGGAGGATCATGATCTTTGTTATTCGTGCAAAATCATAAAACTCCATGTTGCTCATATCCTCATGACTACGATGTTTTACTGCATTTTCACTCCCCATTCCTGTTCCTGGGCTCAGAACTACAGCATCAAGTGGCTGGGTAGCTTCATTTAACTTTACTCGCCTGAGTAACCTTCATAACCAAATTTACCAAATTTGTTTCTTGATCACTTTTATCACCCCAGGAAAGATGAGTTACCAGAGCTGTTTTAAACTCAGCTAAAATACTGAAATTTTGATAACGATAGACATCATAATGTTAATGCATGTAAGTGTTGTTGATAAGTTTTCTTTGCATATGCGACCATAAATCTTGCATGCAACATTTGGATGATTCAGTTGGAAGCATATAGCAGCCACCAAATCTCTTTTAACTATGAACCATTCTGTCTTTTTGTGAGTTCTCTAAGAAAAATCTGGAAGAAAATGATGTAGCGAAGTTGGGTTGACTCGTGTGGAGACAAAGTGATTGGCGATAAATATGTGCTGAAAGCACAAATACTAAAATTGTCACTACAATTGGTTTTATTTTTTTCCAAATTATTAGCTGCATTTAGATCATAAAATGAAAGCTTTGAGTCATATTAAAGCCCTCTCAAGTATTTTGATTGCGATCATTGCAATTATTTATATATCTTGTATATTCTTGGAGAACAGTTCAATTTGATACCACCTATCCTGCAGGCTCGACCATTGCTCACCCAAGCAATTGAGACCGAAGATTTTGAAGAGATAGTAGATCCTAGGCTGGAAAAGAACTTTGTTGCCAGTGAAATGTTCCGCATGATTGAAGCTGCAGCTGCTTGTGTTCGTCATTTAGCTTCAAAAAGGCCACGGATGAGTCAGGTAGTCATTAGCAAATGTCGGGTTATATTTTATTTCAATTTAGCTACTGCTTTCTACCTTCATCTTTAGAAAGTAACAGAACTGGTGACTTTAATGATTGAAATGAAGCGGCTTGAAAAGCCCATTAATGCATTCATTTTGGCATCACAATTAGTGCATTTACACAAATTAAAGAATAATAATAATAATAGATCGTTTTTGGCAATGTGGACAACAAAACCAATATATTTCCGTCATAAAGGTCAATAATTTTGTTGGAT